TGTTATTTTTTCTCCTTTTCCTTTCTTTTCTCTCTTCCCTCTTAATTTTTCACATTAACTCTCTCTCCCCCTCTCACTCTCTCACGTTCTCTCTCTCTCCCCCACTCTTTCTCTCTCTTCCTCCATGAGAGGTGTTGTTCAAGCTTCCAAATTAGAGGCTTTTCTTCAAATTCTTTTGGGTAATCCGGTTTTGAGAGTATTTTGTAGAACCATGAAGTTTTGCATGTGATTTTCATAATCAAAGATATCAAAGAGCTATGGGATTTTAGTTTCTCTTCTCTTTTGTTTTCAAATTCGATTCTCAATTCAAACTTTGACCTCTTTTACTTTTTTTGTTGTTCAATGGGGTTTTGATTTCATATATATGTGAAATGTTGGAAAATAATGGCATCGAGTGCGCAGCGGAATTTTAAAAAATTTAAATCAATGTCAAAGCCAATCAAGAACATGTTCATGATGCTATATAACATAAATACTAAAGATCTAAATCATACATTTTGAGATTTTAGGAAACTGCACGTCTGACCGATCAAAGCGTTCCAAACAGCAACCGGAAGAGCCTCAACCAACTGGTCTTCTTTGCTATTCTTGTTTCCGCGATCGGAGTGCGGGTGGTCACATGTCGTTCAATCTCCTCTTGGTATTCTTGATCTCTTTCCAATCACAAGAGAGCCAAAGAAAAAATTGTTCTTGAGAATTAAACAATTTTTCCTCTCAGGAATCTTTTATCAATAGCCTCCAAAAAGTCTCTTAAGTGATCTAATGAGTAATGTGACTTAATAGGCTATTTATAGTGTTTAGGAAGTCATACTTCCGTAATAATTAGGTTTCCCAAAGTCTTAATCACATCCAGAGTCAATTTTGCCACGTCAGCATGCATTTTATGTTACAATCGGTTGACCTGTGACAGAGACGTTATAACTCACCGGTCGACCTGTCCTTCACGAATTAGTCGACCGGACCGGTCGACCTGTGACTGGTCTACCCAACCGGTCGACCTGTCTGCACTGACGAAAGTTGTTTTTCTAGTTTTTCAACACGGGAAACTTGCATAGAGCCTCAGTTTTGATTCAAGCAACCCAATAGAGAAATTGCCTGATCAAAACAGTCA